CCATATTCCCTGTTCTAGAAAGAGCATGAAAGAAAATGTGTGTGCCACAAAATGACCTGTTGTCCTGCGAACAATGTTCGAAGATCTGCTGAATGAACTTTGGCTGAGCTTTGCTCAGGGAATGGATCTAGAGGGAGCAGTATGTAAAGCGAGTTTCCTCAAAACATCCCAATCATTCTAAACTAGACCTGTGGACTGCTTGCATGCATGGGAAAAGCAGCAAGAAATAGGTTCATTTTTTCTGACAAACTTCCACCTTACCCTGCCAGGAATTCATGGAGAAGCTGGCCAAAAACAGAGCAATATTGAATAAAATACATTCTTCTAAGAAATACAGAGATTAGGTTGGTATACGTATATTATGTAGTTACCGATTTCATCATCATCTTATTCCTGTAACATATTAAGCACTTTACATGTACTATTGTCTCTATTTTTTCAATTTTGCTCATGTTCTCTTCTGCTCTTATTCTACCAGGACCACTAAATAGCTGATCAGATTGGACACTTCTGTCTTATCTGTACTGTTTATGTAATATTATATTATTATTCTTTTCTATGTGTTTCACAGTGTGCCTGTTAGTCTTGTCTGTCATAGTGTTTTCTGTTAATATGTCTGATAGTTTTGTCTCTCTGTTACAGTGTGTCTGTTAGTGTCAATATAGATAATAAAATAAACTGTATTGAACCATCATAGTTTGCCCATTTTCTTTGAGTGTTCCATAGTTTACCATAGCACCACTCACCTTGGCATATGATTACTTAGTACCCAATTTCATAATAAAAAAAACAAAAACAGAAAAAAACTTCATTTATATGGCACTTTTAAAAACAACAGTTTCAAAGTGCTTCACAATAAGTAATAAAAATGCATAAAAACCCCCAAAAAACAATATAACCAAAAAAAACCAAATGACAGATAAAACCAACAGAAATAACCAACAATCTTTTTTAAAAAAAATACCAGCCTATGCAAGTGGGTCTCTAAATGTTTTTTTTTTTTTAAGTGCTACATTTGGATCTAAAATGGCAAACCAGGTGTTCCTTTGTTTTGAGTCTCGACAGTGGGAAATGTAATGGCCAGATGATCTGAGTTATCCTTGTGAGGAGTACAGTGTTATGTGTTCAGAAATATAAAAGGCTGCCATGCCATGGTGGGCTTTGAATGTGAAGAGGAGTATCTTAAACTGAATTCTGAAACATACAGGAAGCCACCCCAGAATAGGGGTGATATGATCTCTTTGTTGAGTGTTTGCCAAAAGCCTGGTGTTCTGAACCTATTGCAGATGAGAAATTGGAGACTCACTTTAAAATGGGTAGAGCAAGAAGAGATAAAGGCAATGTCCTTAGGCACTGCTTCAGTGATTTTAGCAATAGTCTATATCTGAGCTGGAAAAAAGACTGAGCCAATTTCTTAATGTGAAATGTGATTAATGTGATGATTCACAGATGGTTTTATATTCCTTGCTGTTCCCAAATGTTTTTTGAGACTTGGTCTGGGTCAATGACAAATATTTCTGTTTGGTCTGAATTTAGCTGCAAAACATTTAATGATATCCGGTCTTTGATAGCAGTAAATCAATTGTGAAGAATATCCTGATTTTGAACATTGTCAGATTTAAATGGTACACAAAGCTGGGGGTCATCTGCAAAACAAAGGTAGGAGACCATTTTAAACTGGTGAATAATATGACCAAAGGGAAGCTAGCATACGCAAGCTGAAAACAAAATGGGGCCAAGGTTGGAGCCTTGTGGAACCCCACACAACATCACAGGCTGATGATGAGACAAAATCATCAATGGTTACCCTGAAAGATTACTATGCCAACTCGGTGCTTTAGCCTATCCAGCAAGATGTTATGATCAGTGGTATCAAAGGCGGCAGACGTCTAACAATACTAAAATGGAGTGATGGCCAGAATCTGCATTTATAAGAATATCACTGGTGACTTTCAGCGGGGCAGTCTCAGTGCTATGCAGCTTGCGAAAACCAGATTGATATGGGTTGAGAATGTTATTAGCTTCCACTATTTCTAGTATTTGTTTAGCAACAACCTTTCCAATGTCTCAGAGACTCATTTACAATAGAGAGAATTTGAGTTAAGTTACAAGAGTTATTCTTCTTTGTAATTATGAGGTTTGTAAAATATTTGGGTTTCTCTGTTTTGATAAATAAATTATATGCAGACAATAACTGTCATTTTGTCTTCCACCTATGTTCTGCTCTTCTACATTGTCTTTTTAGTTGGTGAGTATCCTCATTTACCCAAGGTGAGGTGGTGGATTTCAATGGCGCCTTGACCTAGCCTTAATGGGAGCAATACAATCTAAAACAGATCAACATAAATATTTAACTGATCAACATGGAAAAATATAAATATTATATATATATAAAATATAAATGTTATATTTTTCATACAATTTTAGCAGTTGCATGTGGAGACAGGGGCATTTTAGTGACATTTTCAGTCAAAAATAAATCAAAAATAAATTTTCTAATGTAAAATCCTGACCAATGAGTGCTAGAGGAGTTTCCTTCAGGCTGCTGTATGCCAAGCTGGACTGCAGCTCACAGTCCATCTGAATACACACATTCAGACATTTTATTCAACTGCATGCCTAGACACCTGTACACATATCCTCTACTTTTAATACTGACTTTGCATCCAAATTTATATTCTTTGAAAAAAAAGAAAATAGCTTCTTATACTGGTTATCCCATCTGTTTCTTGCTCTGATTTGCATTTTGAGCACACTCAATATGTTCCTACAAACAAGTAATCTTACATGTCCTATGGAAGGCCATAGGTCAGGGTCTGAATTCAGTCTGAAAGCCCTGATGAGAAACCTCTAATGATTTACTTAGAGAATGATAATTTTGTCCTTGTGTCTGACTCTCATTTAGAATTAACTTCCCCTACTCTTTCACTTTCTGACTTGTACACAGTCTTTCTCTGTTTTGTTTAGATTGAGTGCAGTTTTCCTCTGGCCTGTGGTTTGACTCTTTCAGGTGATTGCCTATTTCTAATACTGAGACCTCTCTAATCTAAATTATAATTATGTGTTCATCTCCTTGCTCTTCACATGATCTTGACATGAAATGAAAAAATAATCCTTCCTGCTATTTTCTGCTCTACATGATCACACATGGGGTCAGAGGACTATTGTCAGGACACTATGGTTACCGGCTCTCTTCATTACTGCTTTCACAGAATATTTTTTATATACATTTTATAGCTTATTGTGCTAAATCTTAGATGTTGATGCATTGAGGGTGTCGCATTCTTACATTCTCATATTTGGCGGTCTCATAGATGCTGTAATTTCTCATTTTCTAATAAGAAAAAAGCTTAATAAATGAAAATCCTAAATCTCATATTTTACAATTGAAATGTTTATTTGAATTGTCCATAAAAAGACATATTTTTAGTTTTAAGCACCAAAAACCATCTCAATATAATTTTACATCTTCTCTCTCACGCTTCTTTCTGAAGCTATATCAAGAACAGGGTGTTTTGTGTCGGTCCTAAGCCTCTCTCCTGATTGGCTGACTGTTTTCTGAGTGACATATAATGAGGCAAACCACAGGTAATTTAATTTAGCCTACCACTGTAGCTTGGTATAATTCACTGGTAAATGCAAATGACAATGGTCAGTCAGTGCTGAAATGAGCCAAACAGACAATCAAATTCAGACTACAATAAAATTTAGCCACTGGTCTGTAATATTACTACTCTTGAGAAAGCTGAGCAGTGATATGTTGGCTTCCTGATATCCACCAAATTACAGCTCGATGTTGTGTTGTTAATAAAGTTAAGGTAACAACAACAACAACAACAACAACAACGAAAAAGGTCTGATCATGGTTCTGGGTGGGCTATACTGGATGGCAGGATGGTGACTGTAGTTGTGACATCACAAATTTACAGAAGTCCTGACAGCTTGTGTACAGCAGCAACAGTTTTTGAATACGGGCTGTATGCATTTTTCCATGGATTGAGGGTTTTAATCCTTTACTTAGTATTTGTATAGCACCTAGACCTGATTCATAATCAAGAAAGGCTTTCTTGGGGTGTCGAGTGATCAGTGGTCTAAGCAGGCGCCCCATATGTAGAGGCTACAGTCCTCGCTGCAGTCGGCCCCGGTTCAAATCCCGCATCGGACGGCCTTTTACTGCATGTCATTCCCCCTCTCTCTTCCTCCCTGTTTCCTGTCTCTCTATACTATCCTGTCCAATAAAGGCACAAAAGCCCAAAGAAATATACTTTAAAAAAAAGAAAGTCTTGTATGGGACCTTTAAAAAGCACACTTGATTTGTGTAATGCATAAAGTGCGTGCATAAAGTGAGCTTAACAACTGGATAAAAATAAAAATTAAAGGTGTCCTGTAAAGTTTTCTTCTAAATAAACAGTCTCTTTTTCTCTGCAAAAGGCTTTTGGCCTGTCAAGAACAACTCAAACATACTGCAAACACAAAGCACAAGATTTTAGCACAGAAGACCAATGTTCATTTCCTGTGAGAAACTGATAATCATCATTATTTCTTTTAATCTTTCTTCCGGAGAAGCAGGAAACATGAGTCACACTGAATGCATGCTTGTGCATCTTTTGTGAGCAAATGGAAAACAAAACTCTTCAAAGCATCCACACAGAGAACCTTTAAATCAAGCAAGAGTTTGATATCTTGCCATGGTCTGTTCACAGGTCTCATTTCCTCAGATGTGCTCATAGCTGTTTATATTCAGTTCAGCAGTGAAACGCTCTCAAACAGAGACTCAGGATGGTCATTCACTCATTCATTAATTTACTGACAAGCATTTTGTCTAGTTGAGATTGTTAGATGTATATTTGTCAGACAGTATCCAAATAGTTAATGCCATTTTCAGCATAATGTACAGTATGTGTGTCAGCCAAACACACACTAACAATGCCACATAGACACAGACAATTCATTTCTAGAAGCACACTTCCACTCCCAAAGAAAGCAATTCAGTATCCTACCTGCCCAAAGACGGAGTCGACGATGGGCCGCAGCTTCCTCCTGTCTCCTTCTTGCAGCCACAGATCATCGGGGTCGCCCACAGGGGAGCACAGACTTAGGGTCTTGGCCTTTGGCTTTGGAGGCCTCTTCATACTTGCTGAACTCCATCGCCTCAATGACTCGATCTTCTTCTTGATGGAACCCTGGAGAATTCAGGATGAACATATGGCAGAGGTGAAGAAAAGGTGTCACACATAAAACAATGGATGGAGAGAGAAAGAAAAAAAACAGCAATAGAAAGAGCAACTGAGTAAAAGATGACTTCATGCAGCAGATTTTTTGAATGAATTGATAAATGAATGAATTGAAATTAATTAACTGAAATGTATTGAACTCATTGCATGCATCAAGGTTGCATGCCTCAAAATTCCTTGAAAGAAAGGCATTGGAAAAAAAGGTTGAGGGTAAAGAAGCTGCTGCAGCAAAGGTAAGACTAAAATCGCAGACACTCACACAGCTACTGTCAAATATCATTCATACACCTAATGTTTAGCATTTAATATAACTTTTATAATGTACCAGCTCAGAGAAGTCCCTATGTGGTAGAAATTGAAAAAGATGACAGCCTCAGAAAAACATTGTAACTGATGGAAATCTTGACTGACTACTTTCTGGCAGACATAGTATTCCTGTAAATTGGTAATGTTTAAATAAATGGAAATTAAACAATAAATGAGTGTGAAAGTATGTCCATGCCAGCCAGGCCTGAGATGAACCGTGTTACTGCAGAATATCATGTTGAGTTTGTAGGATGAACAGTGGCAGGGTTTAAAGTACATCCACTGACCTTCTTCATTAACTTCCCCTCCGGCACCTCCACAGACGATACGCCTTTCACATCAGTCATCTTCCCAGCCCAACTTGCATGAACGACCTCTGTCTCTGTCTCTCTCTCCTGTCACGCTCCTGTCCACTCCCCCTCTTTATCTGTCTCTAGAGCATCTGACACTGGTTGATAATCTGAGGCATATCTCCTACTGTTGTCCCTCCTCCTTCTGTCATCCGACTCTCTCTACCTCTTTCATCCCTCCTGCCTACAGCCATCATTCACTTTTTCAGCCGTCGGGTTGTAACCATCTCCTCTCTCGGTTTCTCTTCATGTAGATATCGCTGTCACACAGATGCTAATTCATGCATGCATGTTTAACCTCTGTTGTTTTTAACTATTGTATTTATTAATGTGTCATTTAATGTGTTTTTCCAGGGTTTCACGTGGAAAAACATTTTTAATTGATGAATAATAAAGTCAAGTACAAAAACATCTTAATATTTTGTCAGTGTGTCAGTTTTTTTTGAGTCTGAAACTATTATCTGTCCATGTATGTGACATCTCCAGTAATCCTGTATTTATTTCCCCTCTCTCTCTCTCTCTCTCTCTCTGATCTCGTTCTGATGCTGATGTAGGCTTGTCCTCAATCCTCTGCTGGCTGTGTGCAGTGAACTGTACAAAACACAGCACATAACGCACTTCCAACATGTAACAGTATTACGGCCAGTGGTGTATGAATACTCCTGCTCGGGGCAAAAGGACACCGCTCCTGAGATGTTTTTCGCTAGATGAGATTTTGAATAGATTTACATTAGTCTAAATAGGCAGGAACTGTTAACAGTAAAAGAATAAAATAAGAGGATAAAGTGAGGGGAGATGGGTGGAGAAAAAACAAAACCCAAAGAAATGTTTGAAGAACACAGATAAGGGGATAGGGAGTGTCTGTGAGAGATGAACAGTAACATTTTACAATCTCTCTATCACTTAGTAAGGGACCAAATAACTTTCTGCAATATGAGTATAAATGGCAGGCCAAGAGTGGGAGGCCAGTAATTCTTTGCAGAGAAGGAGTTGTTGAGTGGCAAGAAAATATGGGAAAGAAATTCTCAGGAACATGACAGAGCGAAGCAGCGGTTGGAGGGTTTTGCAAAACATTTCTGGAGCCAAGGACTTCTCCAACCTTACAGCTAAACATTGTTTCACATTGTTTATTCGGGGAAAATTAATTGTGCATGCAGTGTCCTGCATGGGAGAGCTGGGAGATGTGAGCTTAGCCACCATTCGCCTATCGCCCACTACCTCCACTGGGTCGAGGGTCCCAGAACAGAGTTGACCACACCATGCCAGCACAAGCAAATAAACAAATGCGCCACAAATTCAGAGAATATCATCATCAATTTGACTGCAAATAAACACATAAGCTGCAAATTCCCACAACACAAATGGACGTGTTTCTAGGGGACACTAAAAGTGATGAACCTGGCTGGGGCACACTTGTTGTTCAATGCCCAACTGTGACTTTTGAAGATCAAAGCAAAAGTTTTTCAGGGGAGTCAGGGAGAGAGAGAGAGAGAGAGAGAGGATGATATGGTGCAAAGGGCCACAGGTTGAACACGAACCCTGTCCTCTGCAGTTAGGATTATGCCTTCATGGAACCCCCCACCGTCCATCCCTCAGTATCCAATACACATATTAACAGGAAATAACAATAAAAAATATAAAATACTACAACAATAAAAAAAGGTAAATATACATAGATACACATATTAAAAAAATAAAACAATGAAAAAAACTATGTACAGTGTTGACAAAACTCCTGCTGAGCAGGATGTGCAAAAGATCACAGTATAGACAATATCTGTTCTGTGCAGGGATAATAGTCCAAGGTGTTCCTGTAATGTGGTTGTTGATGATTGATGAGGCGAGACGCAGAAGAAAAGGCAGGTGCTGGTCCATCACTGGGGATGACTGGACTGGAATTCTGGTCCTGATACAGAGTAGATGCTACACTGACTCACACAGCATCTAGTGTGTCTAGTTGGTATTACAACACGGCCCGGGTCGGGCTAGTTGGTTACTATGCTCATTTCAGTAGATATCTCTGAAATTAATAATATCATTTTTCCAATTATCCATCATCCACCACTTGTGTTCCCGTGTGTGTCCCCAGAGAAACGTAAGTTTATGTTTACTTAGCGGAAATTGTCACTGCAAGCCGTTGTGACGTGATTATTGTTTACATATGAGTAATATTAATATGCTGCATGTACCGATGCTGTAGGCACGGTGTTATCTGACCATGTGTCTCCAGACGATCTATTATTATTGTTTGTAATGCGCATTTAGTGACGCTGATGCTACATATGGTTTGAGTTAGTATTTATGTTAATTGAAGAGTCTGAGATATTACACCACAGTGACTGAGATGTCTAGGTTCATAGTAGTTGTTAGCTTGTGTAATAGATAATTGTGAGCTATTACAGCCTATTACAGTATCCAGCCTGTAAATATTCAGCTCCACAACAATCATTTCATCTGGCATACATTTGAAATGACCTACTGACACAAACCTCTCTAATTTCAATATGTCTTGTAATTTGTTCCATTTGTATGGTGCAAAAAATAAAACAAACAAAAACAAAGCAAAACTACAAGCTGATTTACCAAGCTCAGTATTTATCTGAGAAGTCAAGGGATGACAAGTTGTTTCGAGTCTTTAAAGAGAAGTAAAGGTTGAAGGGCAACTTGCCAAACAATGCCTTATAAATGAAATTGTTTTCATCATTGAGAGAAGATCAGCTATAGTCCACAGTGTTGAAACCATGTGTGGCCGGGCTGTGGCAAGGCCCAGATTTAACTGAAAAATTCGGGTACTACTGACCCTCTTTAATACCTCAGTAAAACAGTTAATCCACAGATACCTTACTGATACAGGTGACAAAAGATGGACTGAGACAAAGATTTCCCCCACGATTACAAATTTATTTATTTAAAAGATCAATACATAAAAATAACAGCAATTTATTAAAGTTAAGAGAAAAGAAAAACAACAATAGAAAACATAAGTGCCTCAAGTTCCAATTTGTCTCAAATATAAATGAATAAGAGGAACACAAAAAAAAGAGAAAAGGAGCCGTAGGATTAGCAGCTGTGGCCGCAGACAGGGAAGGGAGAAAATTTAAACTGGGGTAGAGCACCTCACCACACTCCGGTGCCCTACACACTCACACAGCAAATCAACAAAGGGGATGCAAATAAATAGTGAAGGACGTGCAAAATTTACCAAACACACTAATATGGGGGGGTGACGAAGCACAGGTGAGGAACTCTACCACCAAATCCTCCACCGTCGGGCCGGCCACGCTCGCTGCCGCACCTACAGCACTGTATAGAAACAAACAAAAGAAACAGGTATTAGAACTTGAGACAGGTACACATTCTTGGGGGAAATAACCAAACCAATACCAGGGACAACAGTGTGCAAACAATGAAACAACTAAACAGACCAAAACACAATAACTAAACCAACAAAACAAACAGAGCAAAGACAGCACACCACAGGCTCAACAGGCAGCAGCATCAAGGTGAATATATAGCCTTCCCCAAACAATTAAAAGCAGGAAGTGGACGTGACTAAACCCCATGGTGACCTGGAAGGGATCTCCCACTACCTGTTACACATGCATATACACAGTGTCACCATAATCTATAGGATGACATTGTTGACTGAACAACTTTCTAAAGAGAAGCATGACTGGATCCTGTAAAGTGCCACCAGTATAATTCTCACTCACTTTCTACTTACTGAGCCGCTTAAAGTCTTTTGTGAAAAAGCTCTGTTGCTCAAACGAACAAAACAATGACAATCTGCAGTTTGGCAACACAAATATTTTCCACTTGCACTGCTCACCTTCAATATAACTGTCATTATAAGGCACTTAGCTGCATCCTCTCACAGTTTGTTCCCTATTCTGCACTTTCTTGACATTAGCTTTTTCAACTCTTTATAATGATGGGCTTACCTGTAGGTTAGTTTAGGTTATACTTGCACAACACGACAAAACAAACATTTGGCAAAGCTCATTTACACAATGGGTAAGAATGTAGAATGTTGTTTGTTTGTTGTTGTTTGTTTGTTGTTGTTGTTGTTGTTGTTGTTGTTGTTGTTGTTGTTGTTGTTTACCAAGTACAGTAAATTGTTTTTATAGTTTTTTTAGGTTTGAATGCTCTGTTTGGTATTAGAACTTGGATTCAATGTGTTTACTTTTAATATGATTTTTTTGGGGCATTTCACATTTGTACATTATGACAGTCACAGTGTACAGCTAGACAGGAAACATGGGGAGAGAGAGTAGGGTATGAATGAGAGTCAGATATGAAACAAAGGTCCTCAGCTGGAATATGTGCGTTAACCATTCGGCCCCAGGGAACCCCAGGACTCCATGTGCTTATAATGCTGTATCTTTTGGTTTGAAGTGTCAAAACAGCTTTAGGTTGAGAGCAATTGGGGCAAAGTCATTCCACAATCAATATCAGTTCAACTGCAATCATAATTATAGTTTCAATGTCAGTCAAGTTATATGGATTTAGCTAGAGAAATTATTTTATCCGGTCAATTCCTCACATCTTTTGAGATACAAGCAGCGCAGTTGCTGTTAAATGCTCATTAAACACCAGGAAACAAAAAAGTGTGATTGATGAAAAACGGTCAGGAATCTTTGCTACACCAAGATCTTTCAACTATGTAACATTTGAAAGAAGAAATGATATATTCTTCCTCTTCAAATGAAAGATTGAATTAATTTTTTTTATATATTTGTATATATATATATATATATATATATATATACTGTATATATACATATATATTTGGCACTTTAGCCTTTGTGTGACAAGAAGAAAGTACAGACAGTACAAGTAAAAATGTAGGGAAATGGAAGTAAAGTAAAGATCACCTCGAACCTAACGTACACAAATTCCTGAGTAATTGCTAAAGAGTAAATCAGAAACAGTTGCACTGTTGCCCATAAAGTTGGAATAATTTCGTTTTCAGACACAATCCTCTGTTTATTCCTATTTAAATGCATCAGTAATCACTTTGGAGAGAGATTGACTACTAAAGTTTTGAGAAGATATACACTTTATCTGTCAAGAATAAATCACATTGTCACAATCATTTCATGGAAAGAGGTAAAAAATATTTTATTCCAACTTTATGAGCAACAGTGTATCTCTGAAGAAACCATGTTAGTATTATTTGCTCCGATAAAGAGAGGCTATTTCCTCAGGTTAGTACACCCTGGGGATTTGTTCTGCTCCAGATTCACCTGGTCTGGTATGGCCAGTAAGCGTGTGGTGGCTAACTAAAAAGCGAATGTTAGCACACCTTAGACATTACTGAGTCAGTTCAGTTGACTTAATGACTCCTGTCTACTCTGGTTTTACTATTACATCGTAATTGACACTTGTAGTTACATGACTGCTACCCAGCAAACATTACATAGTCTTGTTTTACTGGTATCTACAAATATCTGTGTACAAACAGGGCCATAACCAGGACCTAAAATGTACTAATGCAAAGAGACCACAGGTATACAACATAAAGAAGGAGACATGACCACAAAAAAAACGGGTAACTTGTGGAATTTATTAAACTAAAAAATACTCCCAAATTACATAAGATATTCCTTTATTAGTCCCACATTGGGGAAATTTGCAGTGTCACAGCAGCAAAGTGACAGTATAAGAAAGAAAACAAAGACAGCAAAATGTCAGTAACAAATACTTAAATATAAATAAATAATAGATAATAATATAATGTGTACAATTCAATATTTACAAAAAAAAAGCAGCAAATGAAGTATATTGCATGGATGGTGTGTGTTACTTATTGCACATTGTTGCACATGGAGAGTCTGTCAGTTCCTGGTGTGTGTGATCTACTGAGTGCAGTGTTTGTTGTACAGGAAGGAAAGACCTGCGGTATTTCCTTCACACATAGCGGGTGTAGCAGCCTGTTGCTGATGGAGCTGCTCAGTGCTGTCAGAGTGTACTGCATGGGGTGGGAGACGTTTTCCAACAGGGGTGAGAGCTTTGCCACCATTCTCCTGTCGCCTACTACCTCCGCAGTTCTCAGTGATCACTCCCCTCCTCCTCATGGTCGACCCATTCCAGTTCCATTCCAGTCTGTTCTCTGGTCATCTCTGCTCACTGAAAGATTAACTTTATAGTTTATAGAGATAGATCTAACACTAGTAAACACACTTACATATTTTTGTCTCAGTGTCCATTAGTGTTTCCACCAGTTGGACATGTCCTTTAAGCTTCAGTCCTCACTGTCCACACTGACATTCTGTAGATAAAGTTGTCAGAAATCATTTCTCAATGAAGATAAAATCTCCCCCTGATTCTTGGGAAGATCACGAATAAATATGTGCAATTATATTTCTGTCTAAGCGTTGTGAAAGTCTCCTACAGTTCAACATGTGCAACAAGAGAGGACATTTCCTAACTACACTCCCACTTCCTTTAAAACCATCAGTCACAGCAGCAACAAATTCATGTGACTGAATGTGCTGTAAGAGCATAGCAATCCTCCCAGCACTATCAAATATACAGTGGTACAGAGGAAATCTTGTCCTCGGAGGCTTTATAAGAAAAGAAGGAATGAACTAGTTGAAGGAGTGTCAGCTCCTGAAACCATCCTCGACCACTTGTATAATCTGAGAGAAAACAACATCTTTTCTATCAGAATTTCTTCACCACCTGAAGCCAAAACAACTGCTGGTCCCATCTAGGAACCCTAGGGTGAGTACAATACTGACATTTACAGAAACAAGTTGATTTATTATTTTCTCCACCTTTAAGTGATCTTGTATCATTTAATATGTAGACCGTTATTTCTTCACACGTTTACATCCATTTCACAAAATTGTGTGATGTTAATTCTTACTAACTTTATATGAAAAACCACAGCATCAACTTGTTTGTTTAAGATTTATATTCTGGGATCTATTAAACTCTTATTCACATGTATACACCAAGGAAACAGTGACATTTACTGGCAAGAGATCAAACTAACACAATAATACATGGTCTAAACTTTATTAGACCCTGTTTGTCTACTTAAGAAAAAGTGCCAATATCTTTAAAATACTCCATTACAAGTAAAAGTTCTGCATATTAAAATAAAATATCTGCTACAGAAAGAGTACAGTATCAGAAAAATGTACTTAAAATACCAAAAGTAGAAGTACTGTCTCTGCAGTAAGACTGATGTTATTATACAAGAGACAAGCGAAGAGAATCAAGGTCAAGTAGAGCACAGCGTCCCTTGGGCCTTGCAATGTGTGTCTTTGAGCCTACCGGGGTTGTGAGATTTTTGAACTTGTACTTTTGCCCTTTTTGTTGCTTTTAGTGCCAAATTTCCTGATTTACATTCACCTGTTCTGTCTTAGGCATTTTAAATATTTAGGGCAAAGGGCAAATGTTGAGGCAGTATTACATGAGGAATTTTGTAGGAATGTGGCAAAAGGTGCATGGCACATGTCATATTAGATTATTAATACTGACACATAAATGTGTAAGCAGAATGTTACTGCCGTAGTGGCTCGAGGTGCAGCTAGTGTTAACTCATTTTATATACAGTAATGCAGAGGTGGGAGTAAGTCACACATGTGCAAGTCACAAGCAGATCCCAAGTTACTGTGGTCAGAATCAAGCAAGTCGAGTCCCTGCTGTAAGTCAAACACAAAACTGTTGCAGCTGCTTAAACCTTATAAAGCCCTTCTTGTTACTTTTACCATAAATCTCTATGTGGAACTTGAATTGTGCTCTCTTCTCTCTCCTCCTCCAATCCAAATTTTAGTAATTCTTGGACTTAGCCCCTCCCCATAATAGCTGCCTTGTGTGTTTTGGTCTACAGCGTCCTAGTAGGTTGCCAGGTTTGTGGGCTTTGCACCAGAAATCACCCAATCATGTTTCTAAAACAAAAGGTAAGTTCTCAATATGTAGAAAAATGCAAATATATCATGAAAAAAATGTCAAGCCCATTCAAGTCAACCATCTCAAGTCTAAGTTAACTCTTAAGTCATGTGATGTAAATTCCCCACCTCAGCAGTTGCTTGGTCCAGATGTTCTCAACCTAGGGAGTTGGCACAACAAAATTTTGGATACTTTAATCTCTTGGAGCCAAATATTTAGAAGAAACCATCAGAAACATTGGAACTGACAATTCATAGTCATCTGAAAGATGAGAAGGGGACCCACCCAACACACTTCTTTAGTTAAGGAGCCACAAGCCAAAAAGATTGGAAACAACTAGTTTAAATTAAACTGTGAGAGATGTATTTTTTTAGTTTTTAAATGTAAAATCCTTGTTGTCAAAGTAGCAAATAAGTGCAGCTGTGAAATAAATGTAGTGGAGTAAAAAGTAAGAGATATTTCTATGAAATATAAACATATGGAAAGATGTACTGAGTCACTCTCTACCTCTCAAACAGAATTCAACTTTTTTTGTTTATTACAACTGCATATTCTTCTTTGGTGTGTGTGTATGCACCAGTGTATATTATAGTACATGATGGTCAAAAGAAAATCATTGACATGCGATCTACATTAATTCTCTAGCTAACATCTGTCAGTTATAAGTACTGTAGCAGTGCATTAAACCCCTTTAAAGCTTACATTCTTCCCTTATTTCTTATCTGTACTCTTATCTGTACCAACGGTTTTTCACATTTGACGCCTCTTCCTCTATCACTATTGTTTTCAACATCTTATGTTGTCAATATTCTCGCTGTTCTCATGCTGGTGGATTATCTTTTATCTCATGTGTTGCTGTCTTTTCTGCAGTAATTTTAATTCTATTTAAGTCTTTACTCACATTTGTTGGCCTTGTCTCAAATGCTTGTCAACTGGATCTTCCAACCCCTGCCTTAGTGAAAACTATTTGGGTGGGGAGGGAGGCTGAATTTTATCTTTCACTTTTCTAAAAAAAAAAGTTCTTAATGTTTTCTTTACATCTTCTCCTTGACAGAAACAAAGCGAGGGAAAGATAATGTGCTGGAACTGAATGATTGAGAGGAAAAGTGGAACTTTATATGTCAGTGTGATCTGTTAGATTTAATCCTGTGCTGTCTTTATATTCTGGATCTTCACTCTCTAATATTCTCTCTAAATTACAACTACCTCTATGGTAATCCCATGTTTCTGTGGCCTACATTACACCTCAACCTGTGTGTGTGTGTGTGTCTGTGAGTCCAATTGCGTGGGATGAAACCAGACAATTGCGGTGATGGCGATGAGACAGTCAATCAAAATGGATATCAGATATGATCAAATCCAATCACTCAGAAAGGTGGTCAGACATACAGCAGTTCAGATTTAAAGTGCTCCTGGATTACAGGAACTGAAAAGCACAATCCTACCTTGTAATTTCACCTCTGTTTATGCAATCAGTGCTATACTGCTCTCTGGTGGCCAGTAGGGCACAAACACTCAATCTTCAGCAGTGGTTCTTAATGTTTCTAGCTTGTGATCCCTTAACAAAAGCGCTGTGTACTTGTGTCCCCTTGTCACAATTTGCATAGGATTTTCCTTTCTCATGTTTTATTTGAATACATTTCATTTAAATACGGGCTCAAAGAAGTAACATTATACAGGATTTCACATGAAAAAAGGATAGATCAGAAAAATCTGTAGGTTTTCGAGATATCAAATCAAATCTGTCAACCTCATGGTTGCCAGGTTTAAGTCTGGACCAAAGTGGTGGATAAACTGACTGACGTTTCTATCCTTACAGCCATACTACTGGAAAGGATGGAAATATTGTATCAAAGCATACTAGTAACTCCTGTCCCAAACACTTTGTGGTGGCCACAGCTATAATACGATAGGTCCGAGGCCTTCTATTGAGTTGAGCTACATGTACACAAAGACATATCTGACATGTTTGAAAATAAGCATTCTGCTTACTCAAACATAAAGCTAGAAATCCAGTACAACCTCATCTATGCTCCATCTCATTTTTTCATTCATGTCCTTATTCTCCATGTGAGGGTCTTCAAGGAATTCAGAAGCCAAAGGCAATGGGAAGGGCTGTTGGATGTCAGGTGATTTACTGGGTGACAATGAACCCTTTCGTGACCCTGGTGTTGCTGGGCTCACATCTCGACTGCTTTTCCTTCTAATATGAGCTCGTATACTTTTCCCTGGGACCATCAGCAACCCTCCTTCCTCTTCTACCAGTGTGGCAAACACTGCTCCCAGACTCTGCCGTATCTTTTCACAGAAGTGTGGGCAGCTGAAGGCATACAGAATGGGGTTCAACACTGGATTCAAGAATGCAATGGTTGTAGCTAGGGGCAAACCCACCTCCACTAAACTGAGGTTATTCCTCCGGTATTGGGCCGTCAATTCAATCATGCAGAAGATGTGATAGGGAGCCCAGCACAGTGCAAACGCCGCAATCACAAATGTTACCATTTTGATGAAGCTCTGGGACAGCTGGCCCTGATTGATCTGATTCGAGGTGGTGTGGGACAAGGTAGTAGGTGTCAAGGTTGAAGATGGACTGGAAGTCAGAGGCTTATTAGTTTTGGTGGTTTTCTGGGTATTTGTAGTTCCTGATCCTCCGTTTTTGTTTGAGACAATCAGTGCATCAGTTAGTCTCATGGTGCTCTGCTTCCTCCTCTTGCTCCTTTTCCTCAGGATGAGACCTATTTGGATGTAGCTCCCAGCAATCACAGCCAGGGGAAAGAGGAAAGCTAGCAGCAACTTGGAGATTGCTGTTGCCGCATGCCTTACTTTGCAATCTCTCTCCAGAGTGGCTTGAGAGGATAAAATCAAGGCAAAATTATGATAGCACAAATTCCGCCCATCATGTTTCTTAATAACTGAACGGAATAAGGTGTAAGGCAAGGTATTAATTGCTGCCCATAGCCAACCCAATGCACACACCTTCCATGCTCCTGCCACTGACCGATGATTCTGGCACCACACTGGCTTGACCACCAAAAGTAAGCGGTCCAGTGAAATGGCTGCCAGCAGGAAAGCTGACACAAACATGTTCAAGAAGAAAATGGAAGCCTGTGTTTTGCAAAGTGGGTTGCCAAGCTCCCAGCTATGGCTGTAGTAAAGGTATGAGGTAAAAAGGGGGAGTGTCAGGGTGGCTAGGAAGTCAGACATGGCGAGGTTGAGCACCCAGACAGAGGCTACTGTGCGTTGCCGCAGGCGGAAGCCAACCACCCAGAGGATCAGGGCGTTCTCCAAAATCCCCAGGCAGGAGAACAGACCATGGATGCAAACCACCACCGAATTGGCCTCTTTGTTGTTGTTGTTGTTGCTGTGGTTCTGCATGTCCTGTAGCAGGGGGCAGAGGAGCTCCCCCCTGGTCATGTTTGACATTGGTGCTCTGAAAAAAAGAGGAAGAAAACATTGACAACAAACTAATGGATAACTGATCAGACTGGCACTGGTGCTCACAGGCCTCTGCTTGGTTGAAAGCTAATTGCTATGTATGTGACCTCCTGCAGTAGCTGGTGTTTTTGATGCATGCTCATGGTTGTCTACAGAGGAAAGAAATTACAAAAACAATATCTTACACGAATGCTGCTGATGGTGGTGATGGTGATATGACCAGTAGTCGCCTGTAGACAGCTGATAAATCACCACTTCCTTTCTTCATATACTTTGGGTAAATGAAATAAGCACCATACTCTTCTCGTTTGATAGTCTTAATTGATCATTTACAAATCTACGTACTTTGCTGTCAAGGAGACAGTAAAGAAAACCTTGTTAAAGTCAATTACACTACTAATTGTAAGGATCAAAACAACATGACTGACATGATTACAGATGATGACTCCTGTTGAACAGCATTATTCTTGGCAGCAGGGACTTTCAACTGTACAGCCATAACCTGGTATAATCAATGTCACCAAGAAAATAATAAGTCAGGAATGACCTAATAAGGCTACTTGTCGTTAGCATTAGCTTCATTGAAGTGGCTAGCTGGTAAGCCACCAGAATCATGAAGACTGACTTGATGGGCTGCATGCTTGGTAGGGAGTGTATGTCGCAATTTTTTTTTTTTGCTGCTGCAAGACCTGTTGAATGAGAACGAGAATATTCTGTACTCTGCTGGGATAATTATGCTCAACACATCTTAGTTCACCCAACAAGAGGAAGCAGAGAACCAGTTCCTATTTGCTGTATACTGATACCAATGTTAGGGAGTTTAACACGTGATATAATAGTATAAAAACAGGTTATATTTCAGTTTATTTCAGTTGTGGTTATATGGGTTGTGCTTCAGAGTTAAATGTGGAACATCTAGTTATCACTAAATACAGTAGAATAAAGATTTGACTCCTCAAAATGAATGTTGCATTGTGTTGTTATACACTGCATGGTCACTCACACTGACTGCCTAGATAAGGTAAACACAGCACAGTGTCGGCTCATAAATACAGATGTGAGTATATATAGTATCCATGACACAATGCTGACAGGACCGCTTCCCCCTCAAGTGTTAATTGCATATATTGTAGTTAATCCCCATATATTTTTACTTAAAAAATGTTGCATTGTGAATGTATTGGTGTGACAGCTGCCTTTAAAGTTAAACACTGAGAACTTGAATAATCACATTATGAGAAACAGATGGTTTTGGGAAACAGTGACCATAGAGTTCAGAGGAATACAGCTGCTGCTCCAAACACAGCGCTGTTGAATCTGCATTTTAAATTGATACTTCCTTTTTAGGGTTAAGTTCATGAACATAGACTTGAGGCTCAGTGAACTTAATGTAGGAATTCATATTAAAATGTCAGTTGGCTCTTTATCTCAAACTGTGTTCAACTCAGTTTTAGCTGCTCTGCTGTTTGGGTGGTTTTGACATTTAGATGCAGTTGCTAGTTTATTATTGGTATAGCATGATAGGAGCTGATAAGAGGCAATATCTCTATCAGAAGCCATTCTTTCTACATTAAAAACCAAAGAGGGACTAACCCTGCCAGCACTTTTTGAAAGTATCTAATGTATGACTGTATGACTGGGTCCAATATCACCGTGTTTGAATAAGAAAACTGAATTGTCATTTAAATATAATAGAAAAAACACACTTGTGTGAGTATTAGTGAAGCATGGAAATTTAGGCCTGCAACAACAAAATATTCATAACATGAGATAACAAGCACTGATGTTCAGAAATAGTTACAGATGTGATCACAACCACATTCAGTCATCAGGATGCTTTAAACTGAATTAATTCACTCACCTAGATGTAAGGTTGCACTCAGTGAGGAGAAGGAAACGTTTTAATCTTTCATGAATTCCTGTTCTCGTTCTGTCCTCTTTGTTTTATTGTTACAGACACTCATCCCTCCAGTTCTGCCACTCTCTACAGCTGTTATGGAGACACTCACTGAATCCCTGCTACAACCACACCCCACACAGACACATTCGTACTGACATACCGCCTTTTGCTCCACCCTGTGGGCTGATAAGAATTCTGATGAGTGATACTCAGACTCAGACAGGTATAGACTAGAGGCAGAGGAAAGTGTCCCATGAAAAAGAGAGAAGAACAGCCAAAAAGAAAAAAAAGAAATAAGATATGTGTGACATGCCTTTATCTACTCTACATCATCCTGCCAAGGCCGGACTTGTATGAACTAGTTCCTATGACACTTCAGGCTGTGCTGTAATTCCCATGATGACACACCGCATCAACAAAGCGCAGTCTACGTATATCCAGACATATTTCCACACAGACATCCTCTGTGTCATTACCCAAACACTCCTGGACAACACCAGCAAATGTTATTTACTTGGTAATTCACTGTAGCTATTAGAAAAAAGTGTGAAGAGAAAACGTTTTCCTTCATGGTTACAAACGTCTCTGCCACCATCTGCTGGTGAACACTACTCAATATGAAACAATTATACAAATACTCTTATATTGAATCAACACATTCATTGGTTTTCAGTTAAGCGACCTGATGTCTGTCATTTTAGCAGGGGTGGACAAAGTATACAGCTGTATTACTTGAGTCAAAGTATAGATACATCTGGTCAAATATTACTCCAACACAAGTGAAAGTTGCTCAGTCAAATTTTTACTTGAGTAAAATTTCTGGAGTACTTGATTTTAAAAATACTTCAGTATTCAAAAGTAAAAAAAAGTCAAACTTTTTTTTCTTCTTGTTAACACATTGTTGTATTGAACATATAGAATAAAAAACTCATAGACTACAAGCAGTTTATCTGGAAATAAACAAACATTTAATACCTTGACATGTTTTCTAAAGTTGGACAGTTTGGTCGTGTTAAATATAGCATACATTTCAGACAAAAGGAATCTTTATTTGATTAAAAAAAACTTGGACTTGAAGCATCTTCTGCCTCATCTTTATCTAACGAAGCCATCGTTAGGCCACTGCCAAGTTCAAACTGAGCTGTTGAAACATGTGGCAGCACAACAGGACTGACAGCGCAGGAGTTGACTGTGATTGCTTCTTCTCCTGTGATCGACACTGAGAGAATACTGACTGCGTAAAAAAACACTGTCACTGAAAAAATGCAGAAATGAAGAAAAAATCAGGAGATTGGCATTGAAAAATACATCATAATGCAAAAACATCAAAATAAAATACAATAATAAGATTGTAAGCTTGTAATTTTTTTCAATGTCTGATTTATTTTTCAGTGGAATTGTTTTCAGTGCCAATACACGTTTTTTACAAACCAGGTGTTCAATGCCAATGTTTCCTTTTTCTGTTCAGATTTTGTTTTCAATGCCAAATTTTATTTTCGATGTTAACATTTTACTGTCACTGTTTTAACCCCATGAAAAACAAACTGTCACAGGATTTAAACTCTGTTTCTTGTCTGTTTTCTTGTATACAACATTTGGTAAGTCAGAACATGGGTCAATTGAACCAAATTCATTACCAGTCTTTTTCAAGTATTTGTCAGTTAACCAACCTGATAACTGATAATGAGTCCTTTTTCCCCCTGTAGATTAATCATGACTTCAGTGTTGGGAATGGCACTGCTGGGCTTGGCCCTGATGGCAGGGCCCACCGTGGCCTTTGTCCCTAACGGGGGTAGGGTGTCCACTCATGTCAGCATTACTCGAACAGCCCTATTGGATAAAGTGAAAGAGACATGTCGGGCAGTGGTTGAGGCAGCAGGTCATGAGTTCAATCCCACGGTAGGTTGGAAACTAATAAATGTACAAGACAGCACAAACCTAGTCTCACAACATACAGAAACATGCACACTTAGAAATACACACTCATTCACCCACATTTTAATTCATTGTGTGTTTCGATTCATCCTGAGTGTCAGCTCAGACACATAAATACACATAAAGGTTCACTCCGTGGTTTGTTCATGCCACATTTTGAAAGGAATACTTCTACATTTAAGAAATTTTGCTTATTGCCTTTCTTGGCTTTGATAAAAACACAGAAGTGTCACCCAGAGAGATGCCCCCTTTTTGAGATCTTCACTGTCCTAAATGAGACTCTTTTTCCAGGGTGGCAGAGCTCTCAGGGTCTCTTTCCATGCTGAGAGCATCAGGTCTGGATGATGCAGTGGGCCTGATCCCAAAGGTTAATAGTCTCCTTTAAGTGTCAGTTGTACTGGAGCTAAACCTATATGGGGTTAACCTTCCCTATCTTGCCTGACCCTGAGGTTGGCACTTTCCTCTTCTACCCCCTTTCTAGATACACCAGGGAGTGGCCTCACTGATGGGGACAGCCTGATAGTTAGTCACCCTATCATAAATTAAGTCTAACAGTTCCTTGCATACAGTTCCTTTTCCTAAGGGAACCTCAAAGAAGAACCTATTTTAGACCATAATCCGAGTTAACCTCAAACCATCATGTGGAAGAGGCTTACCTTGAAGAGGTGCAGAGGACCAAGCTAGGTTGGTGTGTGATGTCTTCTCTCAGCAAAGTTTACGCCTTTATTTAAGGACAAAAAGCAGTCTCTGTGTGGTACAGAGTTACTAAAACCTAATCTAAAAAATGAAGAAAACAAAAAGGCACAGAGTCGTCAGGAAAGTGAAAAAGAACAACGCTTTAGATTTTCCTGCCTTACGGTAATTTGAGGAACTAATTCATCCTGTTGTTCATAAACATGTACTTACATGGACAAAAGTAATGGTTGCTGTTATGAGGAAGAAATATGGTGTGGACAGGCTACAGGCACTACTATAAGGAAAAGCACAATCTGCACAAATCACCGTGGTAAGAGTTTGCTACTGAGACTTATGGACAGTTCCTTCTTGCTCTTACAGCAGGAGTCCCTGAGCAAAATACACTTCCTCTTTGAATTTCAATTTTAAGTTACAGGAGGCCTAATATTCAAAGTATAACATGACAATGTAGAAAATAAAACGTAAAACTATAAGTAATGTAGAATGTAAAATAGTCTAAGTAATAAGAAATTCATGTAATGAATAATGAGAAGTAATACTGACAAATATGACTGGAAACATAAAAAGTTATCAGTGGATAGAGCCAGGATAGCTGGTGGTGGCTGGTATTTAGCACACGGACATATAAGAGCAGTATCAATCTTCTCTTCTGAGGGAAAGCAGCAGAGGATCTTTTGTACAGCCAGGCAAGTGATAGGTTCATAGGCTAATTTTTTAAAAACCAACATTCCAAATTGGCTCCATTGTTAGGATAATATTAGTCTCTTCTGTCTTCAGGTTCTCTCCTGAAGGAGGTTGTTCAGGCGTTGTCTTGGACCCACGCAAAAGAAAGTGTCAGAGTGCCAAGTTTCAACTCTGCGCTCTTGCAGAAATTACAACCAGAATGGACTGAGATAGCACCGTGACTTTTCGAGGTGGGAAGAAAGATTGAAATCCAGTTATTAAAAAGCTAGTATCTATGGACAGTGGTTTCACACACGATTAAGGGAGTCCCATGGTATGATCTACGCTAGATTAAGTCATCATCATTACACTATATCAGACTGTAAGCATCGAGCACTCCATTCCTAGAAAATGTTTCAGTGTATCCACACCACACTTCAACCTCAAGAGCTATGTGGGTAACTAGGGTACGTGGCCCTAACTACCGGAGATCCTAGCGTGCCATTAAGCTAGACATTCGCTACGAGGAGGAATGTTTCACATGCGGTCAGAGAAACCTGGCAGATTCTTCCATTACACTACAGGTGAGAGTGCAACTACGGCATTAGAGAAGTTAGCTAATTGAAAAATTAGAAAAGAAAGTGACATAACCATCCAGCACAGACTGGAAGACAAAACTCATGGATGAAGCTAAAGAGGCAAATAAGTAGAAAATAGAAAACAAAAACAGAAGAAAGAGATTTAAATGTTCACTTGTACTGTGTGTACATCCAATTCACGTGCCCATAACTCATGACTATGTATGTGTCCTGTACTGAGAAGTGTGTCCTCGTGTCGTGTTTCCACATCTGTCGTCTGTCAGGAGCTTACCTCACAGTCCCCAATATCAGTGAATGCTGGTCGGTAGCTGCGTGACACAGGAACTGCCATACATCAACCTCATTCGCCACCAGAATAGCATGGACGACAACCTGGCAGGTGTGTGCGTATGACCATTCGACGTCAAGTCGTCAAAGTGTATCTGTTATACTCCCTATTCGGCTAGAGACTATGCTTCACTTAATATTTCTGATGGCGCTTGAGTATAATGTCATCAATGTAGATAATATCATTATTGTAGTTTGCGTAAAACATCTGGCTATATGTATAGACCAAAGAGCAGAGTGTTGTTTTGTACTTTATGCCATGGCCATGGAGGACGTGCTCCATTCTGACTGGCTTGGTGGGTGTGTATTATTGTTCAAACCACCTGCTAATTAGTTAATACCAATTTAAACTCACAATTACTAGTGGAACTACTACGCTGTTACTTGATTTTTTCTAATCGATTTAGTCAAAGATGTATTTCAAGGTCTAACATTACACATATTCACTGTTGACAAGAGACTTGATACGTGAAATAATCCTCTCCAAATCAATGTTATGTAAAAACTAAACAGCTACTACACACATGCAGATTTTTGTGGATTAGTTTTAAGACTTACTCCAACACACTGTAATAACAGCATGGTCTGAGTTCAACTATTAGTTTAGCTTTACTGCTGAAGTGAAACTGCCAACTCAGGAGATGCATGGACATGCACCTCCAATCAAATCCAGATATTGTTATAGGCATGACCCCCGTCACTTGTCACCCAAACGTCTTGATTCATGAGATATCAACCACTGCACCTGAGGGAGATGTGCAGTGTGAAATGTCCACTAGATTATTATCCCTCCCTAGAGTCTATCTCTTTAGTTACCGATGACTTTAGAAACGAAGCTCACATCAGGCTAATGGGAATCTACTCTTTCCGCCAAGCCTAAATGACAGTGCAGA